CACCCCCCCAGCCGCTATTGTGGAACGGCCACCATCACTGTGCAGGAAAAGGAAGTCGGCACTAAATCAATGTATATCAAAGGAAGTGAGTGGAAAAAACACAAGAGCTGCCAGAATGCTTAGCAATTTTTTTTTTTTTTTTTAAATAAAAGCTATCTTTACTTCCAAACCTCTGCATTGGTGACAGCAGGCTTGAGGCCCGTCCACTTAAGAAGACAGGAACTACACGGATACATCGCCTGCATGCAAACAACTTCTGCTGAACACCGCTTTCAACTTTCATCGCATGACGTGGTATGAATAGGAAAATCTCTATGCCTGAAACACTAGGAAACAGGGGTACATTCCTTTTCCAAATCAAAGATAGGAGAAGAGAAGGAAGAAAGAATTGATTCAAGCCTGAGCTATTGCCAAATTACTATCAGACCACTGACAGAACAGGAACTCTTCTGGACCTCTTAATAATTTAACAGGCTGGTACTCTGACATGTTCAGAAAATAAAACCAATGCTTTCTTGATCGATGAATGACAGGCTAATCAGAAAGCATCCATAAGCCGGGATAAGAGCAAAGAGTCTGCACAACTGGGATACAGAACGGGCCCCTTATTACTATGCAGTTTACCCATGACAGACACTTGGTACAGTCTGTTAGCTTTGGCATCATTATTTGGATATCTCAGAATGCCAGTAAAGGAGAAAGTTTGGTTTTTGTTTTTTTTTTTTAAATAAAACTTTTTTGGCATTGAATCTGTCTGTGAAAAAAGAAACGCGGTGTTCAGACATGCATAGATACCGCTGCCTCCTTCATAGGACTGAGGAATGTTGCTCTTTTTATGCATATTATGTTCAAACTAGAAAGGATGGGAAACCCCTTTTTGTCCCAGTTTCAGTCACGTACTTCACAAGCTTTCAGCAGTTCTTTTTACGCTTGCTACTTCATAAAAGCAAACTGTATAGAAGAGGATCAGCACACTCTAGGCAGGACACAGTAAGGTTTGCTAGACAGGTCTAATATTGAGAACTACTGGTCTAGTTCTCAAGTTCTTCTCTACTGAGCTTCCTCTCCCAATTACCTTTGGTCAGAACAGCGTGGATCTCACTCCGCTCTAGACCTCCCCCATACGGAGACTGTTCTAGTTTAATTGGGTTTATAATCTGACACTGCAATTGCATTGCAAATACTGATCTAAAATTCTGTAATGATTATGGCTCAAGTTTACACAGTTAATGAAATCGAAGCGCTCCTCTTCCACAGAGGGAGCTGGTTTGGAACTTGGAAACAAAACAACTGTGACATTCCCAGCTCCTAATTCTGCCCTTGTGATCTGCAGCACCTGTCATATGAAGCATTAGGTCTGACGAGCCCTAAAATAGCTGTTTGTAACAAACACAGCCATCCTCTGCTGCTGTTTCCAGCAAAATTTAGCTTTTCTCACTTCTAAAGCGAAAATCATTTACACAGAACACCATCTTAGGCTCTTGCCTTCATACTGTACATCCCTATTATTGTTCACCTTCTTCCTGCTCCTTCACTGCGCACTAAGTTTCACACCAAGGAGCCAGATTCTAAACCACAACCTTTTTTTTTTTTTTTGACCAGAAAGTCTTTGAAGCAGTTTCAGACGTTTTAGTTTTTCATATAAAAAGTTAACAGCTTTGAGCATCCTTCAACCACAGATCTGAATAGTACTGCACAGTTATACAGGGGGTTATAACACAGAAATTGGGACGACTCAGACAAATCTACCAGAGATTGAAGTAATAAAAATTACAGGAGTCTTACATGGACCTGCCACTAACTGTGAGTTCACTAAGCTAACCGGAACACAAAAGAAATGAGACAGAGGTACATGTTACTCTGACTTTTCTCATAACTTTTTGTGCAGCTGTGCCAGCCACCTATGGTATTAGCCTTGTGCTCTACTCATCTGGTAATTATGAGTGTGAAAGGTTTGGGAACTCAGTATTGTAGGGCACTGGTTAGATATGCAGTGGCAATTCCTGTGCTACTAGTAAAATGCTTGATTACAGGAGTGAGGACAGATTCAAAAGCCTAACATAAAAAAAAAAAAACCCAAACAAATCTAGGTTTCATGAACTGGAATTGCCAATCTAAATAAAAAGCTTACTGGACTCACGTAAGCTTTCCAAACTTCTAACCTCAATGAATCTGGCTTTAGGACATCCCCTTTAGCAGCTCCTCAGCTGTTCAACAACTTAGTAAGGAACTTTGAAACATTCTATTGTAAACATATTAAGAGCTTTTGGAAATGAACCGCCTTGTCCTAGAATAACCTTTCAATTTCTCATGACTTTCATAAAGCTATACCATAAACACTACTGCCCAAAAGACAGGTTTCACAAAACAAAGATAAGCAGAAGTGGCAAAAATACTCACTGACAGACAGATGCCTACTTCTGGGTTCTGGCTGCTGATAGGGTATGTTCACATCCCCCACAGATTGGGAAGTTTTAATCCTGACTTGTTTGGGCAGTCCAGAATGGGGTGAAGAACTGGTCTGTTGGGTAAAATGAAAAAAAAAAAATTAAAATAAATAAAATGAGACTGAGGAGCTCAAGTAGTCTGGCCACAGTTCCAAAAATATCATTATGTTTAGTCGCAAGAAAGTAGCTGAAGAACAGTTCTAGAGCCTGAAATCTTCGTAACTTCACAGAACACAAACAACAAAGGCAGCAAGAGAGCAAGCTTCGCAATTACTGTGTAAAACAGGAGTCGAACAACTAGAGCATGCTATCCTCCAGCCTCAAAACGAATGCAGGATTCACAAATCTCAATGTTTGTCTTCCATTAGCAGCTACCTGTCAAACCAACAAGAAGGGGCTTATACTACTCTTTGAGACCAGACCATGGAAGAACCTACAATTTCTATCAGCTTCCTTGGCCAGCAGAGATAAATTACAAATCTTCCACTCTTCCAGAAGCAGCTAGATAGCAACCTGACTCCCCACAATTTTTAAAATAATAAACTGACAATTCACACAGTTTAAGTGAAAATAAATTCTGAGAGTTTAAAAGCATGAAGAGCTGGGAGATGCCAAGATGAAGGCTGCTTGTGTTGCTTTTATTTACCCCTCCCTGAATGCACATAGACATAATCTAATTAAAGATAATTTTTCCACTGTGTCATCTTCTCATTCAAATCAGGAAGAGGAATACAAGGAGACACGTCAAAGGATTTCTCCTCCATTTGTTGAGAACGATGGAAGGGGTAACTCCAGCATGATTTGTAGGAAGAGGAACTGCAGGATGGTTTTGCAATTTAGGGCAGTAGGATGCTGCCCAGGAGAACTGTTGCCCTCCTTGTGCAGCTCCGCCGTAAGAAACTGCAAGGCCACTTCAGACTCTGCAGGGTGCTCGCTTGGAAATATTTAGACTGCAGCTTAGGCAGCTAACTCCTCTGTGCTCCCTCCATGGATGGTACAGGGAACATGGGCTCTTCTCAGAGGACTGAACAGGACACCAACTGTCTGAGGACAGTGCACTAAGGTCCGAACATAGGAAATACTGTGAATTGCCAACCTCCCGCGAGCAAACGAGATCCTACGCATGTCAAAGCAGGTGCTCAATACTTACAGACACTTTCAATTTTAATCTTCTTGTCCCAAAGTGCCTAGTTTTACAAGAGGAAATAATATTCTCTTCCTCTTGTGTGTTACAGAATTTAACTAACATTAACTTACTTCATTGAGATGAACAGAACCAAAGATACCCCAAGGAAATGAATCCTGACTTCTGAAAATTATTTGAATATGACTGGCAAACAAGGTGTGAGGCCACACAATCAAAAAAGTAAAGTATCGAATAATTGTTCATATAATAAGCACTTACCCTTGCACAGAGTAAGGAGGCAGCCTGATTTAAATTACATAAACTCTGCCATGAATAGATTCATGGGAGCTGAATAAAGGGTGCAGAGATCACACCATTTACGTGGACAGTCTGGCTTTAGTACTCTAGGTGTTCAACTTAGCCAGTTCTTCCCATTAGTTTCTAAATAGAAAGAAAGGACTGACAACAGAAGTGAGTTGCTTGGTAAAAGAAAGCACAGATGAGCCACAGAAAGAGGCACAAGAAAATTAATATAAATGCTATTCACAAACACAGCTCTCCGTACTAGTCATACAGCTACTGCCGTAAAGTTAATTTGGTTTATATATTTATTTGTGCCAAAGCCACAGCATTACCTTTCCATAAAGAAAAGAGCACAACCAAAACAAAATCTGCATCCTGTACTTCAGGAAAAATAATGCTTCCCGCTCCCTCAGTGGGATGAGATCATGCAGCCAAGAAACCTCCTTCAGACTTGTGGGCTTTTGCTTTATCCCACGGAGGGCTCTCCTGTCAGGCAACCCAGAGCTGAAGAGGAAGTCAGAGGAGAGGGGGGAAACAGTGGCACTTACTGAAGACTTCGCTGTTTGTTTCTGCTTTGAGCAAAAGAGGAAAAAACAGCTAATAAAAGGACAACACCACAGTACGGGCTACTGGCTGGTGTAGGGACGAGGTTTACTAGGTGTTTACGGTAGGTGGGTTACGTAAAGTTTAGACAGTATCATCTAAGATCTGATTTGCACTCTGAAGACACTGAAATTAACAGAGGGCTGTAAAAGAGGATTGTTTTACTGTGTTATACCAAAAGTTGAAGCCACCTTTTACAGCTTCCTGACAACACAGAACAAAGTCTGACTGCGCTAGGTCAGACCAAAGGCCTTCTTGCCAAGTATTGTCTTCAGAGCAGCCAGGAACAAACGCTTCGGGAAGGGGCACAGGACAAGGAACAGCATCATCCCCTCCTACACCTTTCCAGCGTTTGGCATCCAGTCATTTGGGAAAGGGCTGTCAACACTCCAGAACGTCCTTGTATTTCTATTAACATGGATTATCAAATTAAAAAAAATAGCAAAAAATACATTTAAGTTCTCCTGACAGTTCCAAGAATTACAGGTGTGATTGTTTCAAGAGTTTGAGCTCGCAGTCTGCAGACCTTGAATAGGGGCGAACGTTCAAGATCAACAAGCTACTACCAATCGACCTTTCAAGACAAAGCAGCTTTCTGTGTCTTCAAGAGAATTGGGTAATTTGCAAATATCTAAGCCATCAAGGTCTTCGGCTTGAAAAGATATATGACCTAAATTCTGGAAAAACAAACAAACAAACAAACCAAACCCCCCCAAAACCCCCGACATTGGTTGAGTGAACAAAGTTCTCCAGTCACAGATCAGGAATAAGGGATACTTCTGACTCTTTTTGCCCTCTCCAGCTTGCACTGTCCAAAACAGGCAGCGTTGGGAGCTTGACTGAAAGACTCATCTCATGTTGTGTTCTTTTCTGCTGAAAAGTGCAAACTACATTGACGCTCACTGCCACAGCCACCCGTGGTATAGGAAAGGGAACCAAGAGACAATCAAATTCATCTTAGGTGCGAATACACCATTATTAGCTAAAAGCAACTTGGTTTCCACAGAGTAAAGCTGGATTCAATGCATTAGCCTACAGAACCGAATAATAACTGGGAGATGTCCTCAGGCTTCCCACCCAGGATAAAGTGCCAGTAGCTTGTCTTCAAGGACAACCTGTGCTTTCGTAAAGGCAAGAGAATTACGTGCACTTTCTACACTGTGCTATTAATCAAAGGTAAAAAAACCAGTTCTCTGCAAACCAAACTCATTAAGTGTTTTCTGAATACAGTCGTTGGGTACCTGATATAAAATGGCCTTCATATTACAGCTTAAAAAGCGGCAATGTTTTATTCCCTGAACAGCTGTTGAAGCCAGGAAAAAAAGAAAAAGAAAAAAAAAAAAAAAAAAAAGCCA